CCCGTTGACCCAGCGAGGGTACATCCTTTCAGAGGTTCAGGGGAAGGATGTAGACTTCCTTCATCCTGAGCTGTGTGTAAAACCTCTACAGACCCACAGGAGGGAGTGGTCCCGCCTCAGTGGGAGCAGCAGAGGTCACATGTGTCTGTCCTGTTTATGAACCTTTTTAGGTGCTGCATACGTGAGCAGAAACAATACCGACACACATTTTCCTTCCTTGCAGTCGTCGGCTGTCAGGTTTTCGGGGACCTGCCTATCAGCTGGACGCTGTGTTTTCCACAACCTGCTCTGCTCTCGTTTAAATGCAGAAAGCTTGTGTGTCAACAACAATTTTCCAGGCGAGTATGATGATGTTTCCACGTTTAGCTRCCATAAAAGGTCTCACTGCCCTGGACAGGCGATGCATACTGAGCTCTACTGCTCATACGAGAAATTCATGTTCCTTACAAATGTGGCATCATTTTAAAGGGAAATAACAGGGTTTTCAGCACTATAAGATTTATTCTTTTATGGAGTGCTGAATGCCTCTGCTAAAATTTGCTGAAGAAGCTGATAAGCTTGGTAAAGCTAAGAGAAACAGACAGTTGAAAAGTAACTAAGTACAAATACTTTGTTACTGTACATAAATAGAATTTTTGGGTATCTGTACTTTGCTTGAGTAATTATTTTTCAGCCTAAGTTTTACTCCTACTCCTTATATTTTCATACAATTATCTGTACTTTCTACTCCTCACATTTTTAAAACAGGCAAGAAGTAGAAAGTTGTTACTTTTATTTCATTTTTGCTTATTTTCATTCCAGCTTGTTATTGTAAAAAATAAATAATATCCATATAAATTGTGCCTCCTAAATAGAGTGAATTTAAGTATAAATATATAAAATTCAGTTTGTACACAAACAAATCATGTCACACTCCAGCAGGACATGATCATTAAAATACAAGGACTGTACTTAAGAGGTATTTCATGAATTATATTATTGCATTTGGCCGCAGCTCTCAGATAGATTTTCATTTTGGAGAAAAGGTTTGTGCAGCCTTGATATATGTATATAAACTGAAACAGCTAGACACATCCTAAATTTAACATAAATTAATTATTTTAATACAATATAGTCATTCCTGCATTTTTTGGGGAGGTCACCTCCTAATAAATGTCATTACAGAAAATCTAACTGCTCATTTTAAATCAATACTTTTAAAACTCAAGTACAAAAAGAGTCCGGTCATGACAGTGCTGATCTGCCCGCAGCTGACCTGTGGAGACACACCTCCACCTGTGAGCAGAACCAACAGAGTCATATTTGACAATGCAGGGGGGTTCAGGGACTCTGATGCTCAGCAGGTTCTGCTATGAGCTCCTTCCTGGTCTTAAGCACTGACAGACGGATCAGTCCTCTCATTACTTCGCTCTCAGCTGCAGATCACCTGCTGCTGACTGATCCATGATGGGATGTAAATTTAACATTA